GGCCGGAGCGCCGCGCCGCCGCCCCCCTCCAGGTGCCGCCCCAAGCACCAGCTTGGGTGCCTGGTGCCTGGAGCCGGCCCTGATCTGGATCTGCATTTTGCAGCTGGCCGCAATCTCTACAGTGGATCAAACTCAGAGCTCACAGCTGTCCTCTAGGGAAGGTTGGATCTCAACTCTACAGCCAGGGCCCACTTCTGTGAAAATTATCTGCCATTGATCCAGTGACGGGAGAGGGAGTAAAAAAACCAAAACCCCACCCTCAGTACAATAGGGCCTCTCTCAACCTCCTACGGAGAAAGAGATGACTAGAGGGGAGAGAAAAGCATGAGAGAGAAGAGCAGAGGTAAAGGACAGAATGGCAAATGGGGAAGAAGGAAGGAATCTAACTGACTTGGACAATGACTGTTAAACAGAGTGAGGATGGGCTGCAGCAAAGACTCATTGCCGAGGGCACTCCAGCTATCTGCGTGGGGGAGGTGAAATGGCCAGTGATGTCCCACAGGGGTCAGTGTTCAGCCCTTCCCACCATTTCATTAATCCAGGATAGCGTGTTCGGGGCAGGGACTGACTTTTTGTTATCTGTTTGGGCAGCGCAGGGGGCCCTGATCGGGAGGCTTAGGTACTACTATCATAATCATCATGAATGACTGTATTATTCTGAGGCTGTGTGAAGGTTGAAAGGTGAATACAATGGGGTTATGTTAGCTCATCTGCTTCATCAGACTAGTTAATGAAACCCTAGGGAGTTTGAAAGGGAGTTGTAAGAGTCTGTTTTTTGGAAGGTGATATCTAAAGGCAGGGCTGTATAAGAAGCCAGGCAAATCTCCTACCTTTTTTCACTGCCGTATGATTTCTGTGCGACTTTTGCATGCAGTATAAGCACAGTCTGGTCAGCTGGGAGCTGCAGATATCTACGCACTCCATCCCGGAGATGGTCAAGTTGATCTGGATTGGATCTAAAAGAGAGTCCTGAGTAGTACCCTAGCAAAGGGGACACAACGCTTGGCTTCCTACCATCCCCCTACTGCTTGATACCGCCCCGGAGCCACCCTGAGGGGTATTTAACATGGAGGTAGCCAGCACAGCACCTTACCTGTAGGTGATAGCCTTCTGTCCCTCATTCCCCTGCACTCTAATTTGCCTGCTATGCACCGGACCTTGACAATAGAACTAATTCTAGCCAGGTGCTGCAAACCCCACTCTGCTCACTGCACTGGTATAATATTGTATATAACACCACCAGGAACAGTCACAGTTTCGAGATACCCCCCTTCCCTGCATCAGTATCTGCAATCGAGGCATCTGGTGTCTCTCTCTGTAAGAGCTACTGTTTTAATAATACTCCCCAGCAGGGGCCCAGTTTAATGATCAAACTAGGACAAGAGGAATCCCGTTAGAACGCATTGGGAATGGGAAAGTTTCAAAGCTGCTGGAAGACAAGTGCTATCATTAAAATTGTTTGGTTTTCTCCAGCCTTCAGTAAAAGACAGATAGGGAAAGCTTACCTTACAGCTTGGAAACATTCCCATTGCTTCCTAATGGGAAAGCGCCTCCTTTCACTCCTCCTCTCAGTCCCATGTTATGAAGATAGTGACATTCTGATTGTTCATTACGTTCTTTTCTTGTATACATGGCCCTTAAAAACACCTGGGCCAGCTTCTCAGATGCCCTGCATCTTATGCAGTCACATGCTACCAAATTGGAGTGGTGGCATTTTACACCCAATCTCCATTCTCCGTGCACTGGTGTAAATGAATGCACACGGTGCTGGGCAATGGGAAATCAGGTAATGTTATCTTTAGTGATCCCCTCCTCCTTGTAACTGACGATAATAATTACAGTCTCATTTATACCATACTGGAGTTTTCCACCATCTAACGGGATAGCTTTACATGCGTTCTGTTTAACATGGATTCATTTTTATATCTCCCCTCAGTACATTATGAATGTTTATGGAAGGTAATAATGAGCATGGCTGGGGAGTTATTATTCTTGGGATCGGGAGCTGTTATTTTGTTACTGCCGGTGATTGTTCCGTGGAAATGTCCCCATTTTGCTTCACTGCGAACTAAAAAAACAAGGGCCAGATTCTCACCTGCTGGAAATTGGCATAGCTCCATTGACTTCCGTGGAATTACCCAAGCTGAGGATCTGGCCCTTAGACTTTGTTAACGTGGTAGGTTATGTTTCCACTGATTGTAGGCAGATAAGCCCAGTTTAAATCACACAGGGCCTTTGTTGTGTTGTGCTGGAACCTGAACACAGGCTGCTTGTTTTAAAGGGAAGTCAGGCACAGAGAAGCTGGAATGGCGGAGATGTACTGTACTGCTGTCTCACCTTTGCAGGAAGTGAAATTCACCCTGTGCAGAGCACTAGCACAGCGCCTGCAAAACGTTCCACAAAACCATCAAAGTGTGGTGTAGGTGGGTGCATGAGCCTTGTGCTTCAATAGGGCAATGTGCTACTTCCTTAATGGAAGGAAACCTGAGAGGGAGGAAGTAGGAGCTGTTTGGACAGGCCTCTTCTCATTCCCACACTTAGGGAAGACACTTCCTTGGTGTAGGGCAGTTCAGTGAAGCCAATGAAAATGTACCCAGCAGCTTAGGGCCACACTAGCCAAATACGGCAAGGACATCACTTAAACGAAGCTCACTTGTTTCTTGGTTCCATGTCCAGTGACACACACACACGGAGGGTGTTCATACACACAGGGCCAGGCACAACCTGGACATCTTTGGCTTGCTCATGATTGATAAACCCATATGAAAACTGGATGGAAATTGGTTTCCAGCCTCTGGCATGGGGCCCCCTTTCACTGCTGGGGTCATGCATAATGTTAGTTCCCTCAGAGAAATGGTGGCCTCATGATGGAGGCTCAGAACTACCAGCTGTGATTAAAAACATTGGTTTCAGATATGTCTCCCCAGTGGCTTCCTAGCGCAAAGAGCTTCTTCTCACTGCTCAAACTTTCAAGCCGCACAGCTGTGAAAAATGGGGAAGTTTGCCTTTAAAAACCCAAAAGAACCTTAGATGTAAAAGGGATGAGCGGAAGCTAGAAGTCCCAAATCGCAGCTGCATACACAGTGCTGTACCGCTGGTAAGCCAATGCCAGGTCATGGGCAGCCCTTGGTGATTTGCTCAAAAGACAAGCTGGCTATTGGAGACAGGGCTGCATCTGCTACAGCACAGGGAAAATCCTGCAACATAGGCCTGGTCTACACTGGGGTGGGGGGAGAAATCGATCTAAGATACACAACTTCAGCTAGCTGAAGTTGAAGTATCTTAGATCGAATTAAAATTATTTACTTTCGCGTCCTCGCGGCGCTGGATCGACGGCCGTGGCTCCCCCGTCGACTTTGCTTCCACCTCTCGCACTGCTGGAGTTTAGCAGTCGACGGGAGAGCGATCGGGGATCGATTTAGCACGTCTACACTACACGTGATAAATCGATCCCCGATAGATCGATTGCTATCCGCCGATCCGGCAGGTAGTGCAGACATACCCATAGACTCAACTGAGTTTTCATTGAAAAAATAATCATCCCAGCTCTCAAATACACATCACACTAGCCAGAAACTACAAGTAGCAAAGAACATAAAATACCAAAGGTTTGGGAGCAACTACAAATCTGATCCCATCCCAGGATTCCCGGCCAGCTTATACTGATCTCCTGAGGGACTCAAAATAACGTGGCACCTGGACTTCCTAGAAAAACTGAAAGAGAAACAGCAGCAAATAATCTTCACCTCAGTGACAACCTGAGGAACCCTTTAAGCCGTTTCACCGGCCAACGCTTCACTTTTCAGCACAGTGCAAACCTGCTGGAAAAGAGCAGCGTCCTTTACAGATTCTAGTAACAATCCTGTGCGACAGCTCTTCAAGCTTGGGGCCCCTCGTACAAAGATTCATTGTCTGGTACTACGTTGCTGATGGCTCCGTCTTCAGAGTATCCTGGAGACTAGAACAGGCAACGGCGTTGACATAGCAGACGTGTCCAGCACAAGAACGTAACAATCTGGAATCTTCTTTATCTGCAGGCTGTCCTCCCAAAATCGTTGGCTGCATTTTCACTGCACAATCTTTTCCGCCACTGTTTTCCCTGGTTTTTAGATGGATGCTCTTGATCCCCTGCTCTCCTTGTTCCCAGTGTCTTCCGTACAGACACTAAGTTCTCCAATGTGTGACTCAGATCCTCAGCTGGTGTAAACTGGCACAGCTCCATTGAAGTCAATATGGCGACGCTGGATTATAGAGCTGATGATCTGGCCTTGGGTCACCTGATAACATTAGCTGCTGCTTTGTATCTGAGAAGTGAGGGGTTTATGTCTGCTGAGCCTATTCATAACTTCCATGTATGAACTGTAACTGATATTCACTGGCAACCAGATGTGTTTTTACTGATGAGACTGATACATGGGCTGCAATTGTTAGCGCAGAGGCAGTGGGTGCTTTATTTTGTGATCACAGTGACAGTTCTCCGTAGACAACTTCACTTCATTATTTACTGTCAGTCGCCAGTTAGCTTCTTTGCCAGAGCCCAGTGCCAGTACTATTCATCAGATGTTCTTCAAAACATTTACAGATGTTTGCTTCTGATCCAGTTGTAAAACTTTGTCCACAACTTTATCCCTGGCTACCAATCAACACACTCCATTACACCAATATTAGTTATTTAATCCTGGCACGTGACTTAATTCAATCTTTTCTATCTATTTAATGGTTTATACCCAGGCCTGGCCAAAGTTAACTAATATGGAAGCGAGCTAGCGATTGACATAACATTGGCATCCAGTCCATGTCATCATATGCCTCATATGTAATGCTGAAAAACCATACTGCAATGTGCAGTTTGAGCTTCAGTTTGCCTTTGCAAGTTTTGTCCTCATTTAACCCTGCACCGGGGGCAGGCCTATCTTTGCCCTGGGAGAGAACTGTACCCAGTTATGGTTAGGAAAAATCTTAAAATGTACAGCACGCCGAGGGTCTGTATCATAGGCCAGTGGCTCTCAACCTTTCCAAACTACTGTACCCCTTTCAGGAGTCTGATTTCTCCTGCATACCCCCAAGTTTCACCTCACTTAAAAACTACTTGTTTACAGAATCAGACATAAAAATACAAAAAAGTGTCACAGCCACCATTGCTGGAAAATTGCTGACTCTCATATATAATAAAATAAATCATAAAATTATAAAATTCATTGGAATACAAATATTGTACTTACATTTCATGTATAGTATATAGAGCAGTATAAAGAAGTCATTATCTGTATGAAATTTTAGTTTGCACTGACTGCTCTAGTGATTTTTATGTAAAACTAGGCAAATATCTAGATGAGTTGATGTACCCCCTGGAAGACCTCTGCGTACCCCCAGGGGTACGTGTATCCCTAGTTGAGAACCACTGTCATACGGCATGACCACCCTGTAGTGCCTCCTGCTGGCCAAACATGGTGCTGACAGCACTTCCTGACTCCATTTCTTTCCTCAAGGTGGGTCTCCTCATCTCTCCATACACTGTGCTGGAGATGCATCTTAGCTCTCTGGCTAAGTTGCAAACAAAACTTATACCCTCCTTGGGTGGCACAAACCCAAACTAGAAAGGTTCTTCCACTTTTCATGGGCTTCTCTTTGGCTCACCCTCTGGGCCCTGTTCCCGCCCCTTTTTTGGCTACCTTTCAGAATCTTTCTGGCTCTGGGATAAAGCACTTGGCTCCCAGGCTGGTTCCCCTGGAGTCCCCAGCCTCCTACAGACCTTGGCTCAGGGCCTTCCAGAGGAGTCTGACCATTCTCTGCAATTCCACTCTCAGGCCTGGTCTACACTAGGCGTTTATGTCGACTTTAGCGCCGTTACATCGACTTAACCCTGCACCCGTCCACACCACGAGGCCATTTAGTTCGACATAGAGCTCTCTTTAAATCGATTTCTGTAATCCTCCCCAACGAGGGGAGTAGCGCTAAATTCGACATGGCCATGTCGAATTAGGCTAGGTGTGGATGGAAATTGACGCTAATAGCTCCGGGAGCTATCCCACAGTGCAACACTCTGTTGACGCTCTGGACAGCAGTCTGAGCTCGGATGCTCTGACCAGCCACACCCCGGGAAAATTTGAATTCCTTTTCCTGTCTGGGCAGTTTGAATCGCAGTTTCTGTTTGGACACCGTGGCGAGCTCAGCAGCAGTGGCAAAGATGCAGAGCTCTCCAGCAGAGATGGCCGTGCAATCCCAGACTAGAAAGAGGGCCCCAGCATGGACTGATCGGGAAGTCTTGGATCTCATCGCTGTGTGGGGAGATGAGTCCGTGCTTGCCAAGCTGCGCTCCAAAAGACGGAATGCAAAGATCTACGAGAAGATCTCTAAAGCCATGGCAGAGAGAGGATACAGCCGGGATGCAACGCAGTGCCGCGTGAAAATCAAGGAGCTGAGACAAGGCTACCAGAAGACCAAAGAGGCAAACGGACGCTCCGGATCCCAGCCCCACACATCCCGTTTCTACGAGGCACTGCATTCGATCCTAGGTGCGGCCGCCACCACTACCCCACCACTGACCGTGGACTCTGAGGATGGGATATTGTCCGTGGCCGGTTCCTCCGACATGTTAGCTGACGGGGAAGATGAGGAAGGAGATGAAGAGGACGATGCAGTCGACAGCGCTTACCACGCTGATTTCCCCGACAGCCAGGAGCTCTTCATCACCCTCACAGAGATCCCCTACCAACCGTCCCCCGCCGTTACCCCAGACACAGATTCAGGGGAAGGATCAAGCAGTAAGTGTTATAAATATCTTAACATTTATTTATAACAGAACTTGCATATTTTAAATATTAACAATAGCTAAAGTGCTTTCAAGTATGTAAACTTTTATTTATAACAGAACAGGAAGATTTGAAATATTAACAATGGGTAAAGTGCTTCTAAACATGTAAACAGGAAAGTGCAACAAAACGGGAATCTGAACAAAGGGTATCGTGATTATTGTGTCTTTGGCCGCTTCAATGTATAGTCCGAACCATTTTAAGAAAATTCAACAATGTCTGCTTCATGATTACACTGCCCAAGACGCTCCACTCTTTTGTCCCTCCAAGGGCACCTAACCCAAAAACTGGTCGATGTGTCCGGGGATAGAGGCGAAATCCTCCGGGGAGAACTCCTCATAGGCCTCCTGCAGGTGTCTTTCCAGCCTAATTATCAGGTTCCTTGGCAGGGAGAGCTTATTAGGCCCCCCGTGGTAAGAAACGTTTCCCTGCCACAACGCCAGCAGGTATTCGGGGATCATGGCCTTGCACAGTATAGCAGCAAATGGCCCCGGTTTCTGCAGGCTGTCCCGAAGCATCCTCTCCTTCTGGCTCTCCGAGACCCTCAGGAGGGTGATGTCTGGCATGACGCCCTGCTTTGAATTAGGTAGGGGAAAGTTAGTATTGGGACTGCTTGCCCGTTCCTTTACAGAACTGCAACCGCCGGTTTACAGCCACGCGGTTTACAGCCGCGAGGGGCTGGGACAGGGGCAGAGTTCATGCTTGCAGGATTGCTGCCAGCAGAGACTTGCATTGCTTTCTATGTGAAAGGAGGCCAGTGCCACTCTTAAAGTTTTAAGCAGCCACAAGTCTACGGCTTACCATGTTTGCCAGCTAGACAAAGTCCGGTGTCCTGCCCCGCTCCTCAGCTCGCCACAGCAAGACCGCAGGCACTGTAGGCGAGGGCCAAAAATTAGACCTTGTCCTCAGTGCGCGTGTGATAGGTGCTCTGCATGGTCTTGTTCACAGAGAAAGACTATGTTCTCTGTTCACAGATACATTGATCTGTCTCAGGAATTCACTCCCTTTTTCCAATTCCCACAGCCACATCTGCCCAGAGGCTAGCGCACATTAGGAGGAGGAAGAAGAGGACACGGGAAGACATGTTTGCTGAACTAATGGGATGCTCCCGAGCCCAGGCAGCCCAGCAGACACAGTGGAGGGAGAACTTGTCCCAAATGCACCGGGCAAACATGGAACGGGAGGAGAGGTGGCGACAGGAGGACCAGCAGGCGACTCAAACGCTGCTTGGACTAATGAGGGAGCAAACGGACACGCTCCGCCGCCTTGTGGATGTTCTGCAGGACCGGAGGCAGGAGGAGAGAGCCCCGCTGCAGTCTCTCTCTAACCGCCCTGCCCCGCCACCAAGTCCCATACCCCCCTCACCCAAAGTCCAAACACGGAGGGGCGGCAGGGGCCGTGAAAACTTTCACTCCACCCCAGCGGACAGCTATAGCACTAGAAGGCTCTCATTCCCCAAAATCTGAAAAGTCCTTTCCTACCCGCCTCACACAAGACCCCGTCCAAGTTTCACCCCCCCATTCCATGTGTGGTTGTTAATAAAAAATACGTTTCTGTTCATTACTGTTTCCATCCTCTTCCTTTGGAGGAGAGTCTGTCTGAAGGGGGGGGAAGGGGCTTGGTAATTAGACAGGACAGTCACCTTTAGCAGGGGGCAGGCCCAGCAGCAGGGCACATACACAGTGCAGTGACTAGTTACCCTGGTCAGTCTGGGAGGTGGCTTTCATGTTCTGTGGGGGGGGGCAGTTTAGAAGCATCATTAGCATCACAACACTAAACCCAGGTTTAAAACATTCCCGCGAAAACAGTAATGAAGACAACGGTGTTCATTAGCAAAACAGAACAGATTTTATTTTTTGGGAAGGGGGTGAAGGGGGTAACTGGGTAAAGAAACGGGGGCAAGTTCAGCCTCTGTGTCCACAAACTTAAAAGTCACTGGGTACCCTGCTCAGTCTTGAAACTGGCTTTCAAAGCCTCCCGGATGCACAGCGCGTCCCGCTGGGATCTTCTAATCGCCCGGCTGTCTGGCTGGGCGTAATCAGCAGCCAGGCTATTTGCCTCAACCTCCCACCCCGCCATAAAGGTCTCCCCCTTGCTCTCACAGAGATTGTGGAGCACGCAGCAAGCTGCTATAACGATGGGGATATTGGTTTCGCTGAGATCACAGCGAGTCAGTAAGCTTCTCCATCTCCCCTTGAGACAGCCAAAAGCACACTCCACCACCATTCTGCACTTGCTCAGCCGGTAGTTGAAGAGTTCTTTTTCACTGTCCAGGGCGCCAGTATAGGGCTTCATGAGCCAGGGCATTAGCGGGTAGGCTGGGTCCCCGAGGATCACTGTAGGCATCTCCACATCCCCAACAGTTATCTTGTGGTCCGGGAAGAAAATACCTTCCTGCAGCCGTCTAAACAGACCAGAGTTCCTGAAAACCCGAGCGTCATGAACCTTGCCCGGCCATCCGACGTTGATGTTGGTAAAACGTCCCCTGTGGTCCACCAGTGCTTGCAGCACCATTGAAAAGTACCCCTTTCTGTTGATGTACTGGCTGGCCTGGTGGCCCGGTCCCAGGATAGGGATGTGAGTCCCATCTATAGCCCCACCGCAGTTTGGGAATCCCATCGCAGCGAAGCCATCTATGATGGCCTGCGCGTTTCCCAGGGTCACTACCTTTGACAGCAGTACCTTCACGATTGCCTTGGCTACTTGCAGGACAACAACCCCCACGGTAGATTTGCCCACGCCAAAGTGGTTCGCGACTGACCGGTAGCTGTCCGGCGTTGCAAGCTTCCAGAGGGCTATGGCCACTCGCTTCTGGACAGTCAGGGCTGCTCGCATGCGGGTGTCCTTGCGCTTCAGGGCAGGGGACAGCAACTCACAAAGTTCCAGGAAAGTCCCCTTCCGCATGCGAAAGTTTCGCAGCCACTGGGATTCATCCCAGACCTGAAGCACTATGTGGTCCCACCAGTCCGTGCTTGTTTCCCGGGCCCAGAATCGCCGTTCAACAAAATCCACATGCCCCATTGCAAACGTGATGTCCTCGGCGCTGGGTGTCGTGGTTTCTGACAGGCGTGTGCTACTCTCGGAGTTCAGGTCCTCACTCCGCTGCCGTAGCCTCCTCGCCTGATTTCTCTCTATCTGCCTCTGTGAAAGGTGGATGATGAGCTGCGAGGCGTTGACAACGGCCACAACTGCAGCGATGGTCACAGCGGGATCCATGCTTGCGGTGCTGTGGCGTCCGCGCTGTCACTGACCAGAAAAGTGCGCGAACTGATTTCCCGCCGGCACTTTCAAGGAGGGAGGGAGGGCGGGAGTGACGATTGGATGACGACAGTTACCCAAAAGCACCCTCGAGACATTTTTTTCCCCCAGAAGGCATTGGGGGCTCGACCCAGAATTCCAATGGGCAGCGGGGACTGCGGGAACTGTGGGATAGCTGCCCACAGTGCACTGCTTCCAATGTCGACGCTTTCCCTGGTAGTGTGGACTGACAAAGTCGAATTACTGTCCTTAGTGTGGACACACACGTTCGACTTTCTAATATCGATTGCACATATTCGATTTAACTAAAATCGAACTACTCTCGTAGTGTAGACATACCCTCAGACTGATCTCTCACTGACTTTCTATAAGGTCCAGGCATCCATGAAGCTATCACCTGATCCTTCTTAGTTCCACCACCTCAGGCTGGGAA